ACTGCTTCGTAGAGCACCATATGTCTCTATCGAGTGAATACCTAAGTTTATGATGAAGATAGTCTTACGTCGATTAAGTACGTTCAGACCTTGTAAGGCACTCTCCAGCAATCGTATCCAGTGTAGTATTATCTCAATGGGCAAATCACTAACTCTCGATCACTAGACCATCCAGTGATAGGCTCCCGTGAAATGGCATTAGATTATCACGGCATCGCACCGGCGGGAGATAGGGCAACTCTGTAATCTCTGAGCATAGCCCCTCAACATGCCTTGTCCCTTTGCCTACCTTCCTGCATGCGCAGCCGGAATATTTGGAGGAGCTGGAGTGTTGGCAGCAGTAGACCACAACTATTGGACTTACTCTGCAACCATGAGTGTTATCGGGTATGCGTCACGATCATCGTCATCGCCAACAACTTGCCGCATCTTAGGTCCGCTCCTCTGCTGATATTAGCCTATAGGGACTTCGCCGCTGGCACGTGGAGATCCAATCGACGTTCGATCGCCTATCTGGCTACCGGAAGCATCAGCCTGGTGATGGGAGCGTATCTTCTAGTCAGGAAGCCATGGTTGCGCACAGCAAAGATTTCGCAAAATGATACACGATGATGATACGGGGGCGCGTTTTCGCATGACGTTTCGGTTTATTTTTTATTCGCTATGTTGTCGCGTTGCTGAATATGTTGGGAAGACTCCTCAAAGGTGGTTTACAATGTAGACTTCACGTTGTCATAAAGATCTCTTTTACCTCCTTTTAGGTTGAGTCTGACCTCCTGTTGGCGAGTACAACAGGAATCTGCGTGTTCTATACGTGGTTGAAGCTATTTCCGGGGACCTTATTTTCTAGTTAGTGACCATCAAGTTGGTGGCACCAACAACTTGGTGGTCTGAAAAAGATATAGTTCTTCAGTACCCGATGGGTACTACTCACGCATCTTCATGTGGTATTACCGTTCAACATGTTACTACTCGATGGGCGAGCGATATACTTGATATACAAGATACAGTGAGCACAACTATGGTAACGCGAAATACAGTATTTCACATACTGGGTACATTTTGTCTCTCTGTCGATTAGGCTCCTCGTCAATATACCCCTTAGAACATATCTGAATTACAGCCTAATCCAAGACGTTGATTCAAAGCGAGAAATGATTCGAGCGCTACCTCCTCGAGGTACCACAACTCATACCTGAGCTTTAGTCGGGTAACCTCTTGAGCTCCTCTCGAGGCACTCAGGAAAGTCTCCGTTAACAAAATGACAATTCGGGTTTTCGGGTTTGTGAAATACCGTAGCAAAATTACATTAAATACCATAATATAAAAGACAAATCAACCATAAGAGTCAACAGGTCTCCGTGCACTGCGCCGAACCGCACAGTGTTCAACAGAATACCAATGGCTCTGATCATGATTGTCATGATGGGCCATCATTGATGGCAATGGTTGTGTTCACTGGCCGTGAACATTTTCATTATGATGACAAGCCAGTAGTCGCGTTCACGGGACCTAGTCGAGCGGAGCTTGGTGCGCATCGACTCGTGCTCCTTCAGTTGATGAATTAAGGATCGTACATGCGAACGGCGATGACCCATGAGACACCTCAGGGCACCGTGCAGCGCCTCGGCAGCGTTGTTGGTCCTATGTCGCATGCCCACTAGAGCTTCCCAGTATAATATACAAATTACTGCTCCCTATTATACTTGACAAGTTTTAGAACAAGTTCTCTCCAACTATGACAACGTTTGCGTTTGGACCTTGATTTCGACGCCTGTGAGGTCTCGACTTTTGAAGTACTGAGTACTTAGTACTCTTCTCATCAGTATCAACAGACAAACCGGCTGCCACGATGGAACTAAGCAATGAAAGGATATCTATCTCTGCGAAATAGATCAGGAGGGGTCAACGCTCCAT